GAATACATTTAATACACCTAACCTGTCAAACATTACAGCGTAGCCAGGCCTAATTTAAATGTGTTCAGAACACCTACATTAGCCTATAGTTGGGCAAAATTATCTAACATAAAGCCTATTTTATAATAAAGTTTGAATATGTCATGTAATCTGTTGAACACATACTGAAAGTGAAAAATGGAAATGGTTATATGGGTACTTAAAGTATGATATCTACTGAATGTGTATTGCTTTTGAACCATCGTAAAGTAACAAAAAATCATTTAAGTCAAATCATTGTAAGTCAGGGACTGTCTGTATCTGCTGTCTGCAAGTATATGTTCCTTCAAACATAATGACACACGTAGACAAAGTAAAAGGATAAAGAGTAATATATCATGGAAACACTAATTTTAAGAAAGCAGTACTGAGTATGTTAATATCAGATAAAGTAAGTTCAGAGAAAGAAAATTACTAGGGACAAAGAGGGACATTGTATAGTATTAAAGAGATCTCACATCTGTAATCTCAGCACTTTGGGAGGCTGAGGTGGGTGGATCATTTGAGTCCAGGAGTTCCAGACCAGCCTGGGCAACATGATGAAAACCCATCTCTACCAAAAAAAAAAAAAAAAAATACAAAAATTAGCTGGGCACGGTGGTGTGTGCCTGTAATCCCAGCTACTCGGGAGACTGAGGTGGGAGGATTGCTTGAGACTGGGAGGTGGAAGTTGCAGTGACCTGAGATCACACCACTGCACTCCAGCCTGTGTGACAGGGCGAGACCTTGTCTCAAAAAAAAATAATAATAAATAATAAAAAAAATCAAAAAATCAATCCATCAAAAATACATAGCGATCTTTAATGTGTATGTACCAGACACCATGGCTTCAAAATATATGAAGCAAAAACAGAGTTAAAAAGAGAAATAGACAAATCCACAATTACAGTTGGGGATTTTAACAGCCCACCCTCAGCAATTGATCAAACTACTAGATAGAAAATCATCAGGATATAGAAGAACTGGACACTGTCAACCAACAGGACCTAACTGATATTTATAGAACACTTTGCCCAGTAACAGTGCAATACACATTCTTTTCAAATGTCCAGAAAACATTCACCTTGATTTAAAAAACCTTAACAAATTTAAAATAATTGAAATTATAGAGTATGTTCTCTGGACATAATGGCATCAAATTAAAAATTAACAACAGAAAGATAACAGGAAAATTGCCAAACATTTGAAAGTATAGCTAATATAACCCGAGCAGTTCATGGGCTGGATCATGAAAGGCCTGGTCTGCTCTATTTAAATCTCCAGCCCATTATGCAAGAGTAGCAAATCACTGAAGCCATTAAGCTAGAAAGTGATATGGGCATATTTTTGCATTAGTAATACAAGTTGTAAATCACAGGCGCCTGAAATAGGGGCAGTAGCTCATATAGAGATGAAGAAATAAAGGCTTGTAGGTTTAAGATCACCCGAAGAGACCATAGCCTGGGCAACAGAGTGACTCCGTCTTAAAAAAAAAAAAAAATTAGGGAGGTGGATAGGAGGAAAGAGAGAGAATGAAGTAAAAGGTGACCTCAGGATTTTAACCTGGGCATCTAGAAGAATGGTTGCTCCTCGAAACTGAGATTAACTGGAATTAGTTAATAATGAATTTGTTATTTAGGCATGTTGATTTTTTCTTTAAGCTTTTTGAGATAACTGTAGATTCACATGCATGTAAGAAATAATACAGAGAGATCCTATAAACTCCTTACCAGATTCCCCCAGTGGTAGCTTGTTACAAAACCATATGGTACGGTATCACAACAAGGACACTGACATTGATTCAGTCAAGAATCAGAACAGTTTCATCATTGATATATTGGATGTCGTCAAAACAAAATATTTTGCTCTGTGAAAGACTCTGAGGATGAAAAGCCAACTTACAGACTGGGAGAAAATAAGTGCAAAGCACACAGCAGCAAAGGACATATCTAGAATATATAAATAACTTTCAAAATTTGCTATTAAAAAGATCAGGCCAGATGCAGTGGCTCATGCCTGTAATCCCAGCACTTTGGGAGGCTGAGGTGGGTGGATCACCTGAGGTCAGGAGTTGGCCATCATCATGGTGAAACTTCGTCTAAAAATGCAAAAATTAGCCATGTGTGGTGGCTCACGCTTGTAATCCCAGCTACTCGGGAGGCTGAGGCAGAAGAATCACTTGAACCTGGGAGGCAGAGGTTGCAGTGAGCCAAGATCGTGCCACTGCACTCCAGCCTGGGCGACAGAGCGAGACTCTGTCTTAAAAAAAAAAAAAAAAAAAAATCAGGAAATGAGCAAAAGACTTTCACAGACATTTCACCGAAGAGGATATACAAATGAGATTTCACTACACACATATGAGGATGGCTAACGTAGAAAAAGGTGATAACATCAAATGTTGGTGAGGCTGGATCACTCATCCATTGTTGGTGGGAATATAAAATGGTGCAGCCACTCTGGAAAATTGTTTTGTAATTCCTTTTAAAACTAAAAATGGACTTACCATACAACCCAACAATTATACTCTTGGACATTTGTTCCAGGGAAAACATTTTCATGCAAAAATTTGTACACAAATGTTCAGAGCGGTTTCATTTATAATATTTAAAAAACTAGAAACTATCCCAATGTCCTTTGATGGATGTACAGTTAAACAAATTGTAGTATGTCCATACCATGGAATATTACTCAGCAATAAAAAGGCACACACAACTCGGTTGAACATCAGGGAAGTTATCCTGAGTGAAAAAAGCCAGTCTTAAGGGATGGACATATACTGCATGATGCTATTTATGTAATACTCATGAACTAACAGACATGTGGAAAACAGATCGTGATCGCCAGCAGTTAGGCTTGAGGGTCTAGGATGGCTGTAGCTAAAAGGGTGGCACAAGAGTGTCTTTTGATTAGTACTTTTAAGTATCTCGAATGTGGCTGTGGTTACACAAAGCTATACAGGTGACAAAAACCACATAGAGCTATACACATATGTACACAAATGAGTGCATGTGTAACTGATGATATCTGCATAGGCTCCATGCATCACCCCAGTGTCAGTTTCCTGGTTTTGATATTGTACTCCAGTTACGCAAGATGCTAACACTGGCAGAGGCTGGATGAAGGGTGCAGGAGGCCTCCCTGTACCTTTATTTCCAACTTCCTGTGAATCTGTCATTATTTCAAAATAGAAAGTTTAAAAAGTCAGTGCAATGGTTCGTTTTAGGTGCCAACTTGACTGAATTAAGGAATATCTAGAAACTTGGTAAAGCATTATTTTTGGGTGTTTCTGTGAGAGTGTTTCCAGGGGAGATTAGCATGTAAGTCTGAGTGAAGCATGTGGGAAGATCCACTCTCAATGTGGATAGGCATCATCCAACTTGCTGTGAGTTCAGAGAGAACAAAAACAGAGAAGAGGTGAATATATCAATCTATCTGCTGGAATTAGAATACAGTCTTCCTCTTTTGTCCTGGGACAATAACTCCAGGCTCCTTGGCCTTTGGACTTTAAGATACACACCTGGTGGGTTCTCAGGCCTTTGGCCTTGAACTGAGAGTTACACCACCTTCTTCTTGGTTCTGAGGCTTTCAGACTTGGACCAAGCCATGCTACCAGCATCCCAGTGAGGTGGGAGGCAGGACTTGACGCCAGAGGCGGGGCTTGGACATAGGATCCAATTGAGGACTAGCTAAAATAGGGAAGCAGCTTTCCTACCAGTGTGCCCTGTCAGTTTTCCATTACCATGGCAACACGTAGGCGTTACCACCCCTTTCCAGCACAATGACCCAAGGACCCAAAAATCACTACCCCTTCCCTAAAATTTCTGCACAAACCACCCCTTAATCTATATGTAATTAAAAGTAAGTATAAATACGACTGCAAAGCTGCCCTGATCTACAACTCTCTGCCTATGGGGTAGCCCTGTTCTGCAGGAGCAGTCATGGAGCTGTAACACTGCC